TGAACACAGCAACCGACTAACTCAGCAGGTTTGGGATGCTTGACATTGGAGATGTATTTATCTCGGTCAAAAATTCATGCACTCCCTGCTTTGATTCTGCAGAGAGTGTCTTAATGGCAACTTCTTTTCCACTCCTTAGAATTCCCTACAAAATTTGGAAAATTGTTAGCGAGTCACAAAACTTTGAAAAAATTATATAAATAAAGCTATAGCTCCACAGTCCCTATAGTGTCAACATGAAATCATAAATGAAATTTGTTTAACATTAAAATGAGTCGCAGTGCTTAAGGCAAATAGGAAATAAAAAAAGCGCCACTCTGAAATTGATTGTAGCTGAAATATGGGCATAACTATACCAATACTAAATATCTACATGTTTTTAACAATAACTTAAAAAAATCTCTAATAAGTTTGTTCTCCAGAAAGCCGATAGATCATTGTCCTATTAAGCTGTATTAACGAGAAATATATGTTAACTTTGAGCACCTTGTAAACAGTTCCAAAACCACCACGTCCTATCTTCTTGCTTGAATGAAAATTATCTGCTGCCGATCTTAATTCTTTGTAGGACAAATTGTTTACATTACCAAGCAATTGCCCTAGAAACCATGAAGGTAGGAACAACAAGAAGAGAATTACATAGAGGAAGAAAAGATTATGATAATATGAGGGGAAGATGATCTTGCCAAAGAATATACCAACAACTTAAAAGTAAACCACACGATGGAACTATATGCTAAAATGCTTCCAATATACTGCCAAGTTCCCTACCCAAAAATTTTGAAGAAGGTATTAGAAAAATATTGTATAAGAATCTATTGCTAAAAGATATATGTAGTTTTAAATTCTGATGCACATTTTCATGAAAATTTGTAAAGCATGATCTTCTCCAACAGCAGATCCAATCTTAAAATTCATTTGCCAACTAACACATATTTCGAAGTTTTATTCACTGAAAGCTTAAAGTATCAGCCAGAGGTTGAACAGATGCTCAAATCAAAACTTGTGCTTAAGCAATTAAACTGGATTCATATATTAAATTTATGGGCATCTGACTTTGAGATGAAATTAGATGCAAACTTCCTCGTGTCAAATGCAGCAAGCAAGGATATAAGGAAAAATTTTTAACGCAGGCATGAAGATCATCCTTCCTCTTTGTTAACTAACTAATGAAGGAGCCTTACTTAACCTTACCCTATCCCACCCTATCTTACCGGGTGTACCAAAGACAGCTAAAAGCAAAAGTAGTGAATTATGAGAGTTCCATGGAGTCTAACATCCTTGTGCTAGTCTAAGTCTTACCCAAGAACTACTAGCGGCAGCATTCTGATCCCATCCAAGATGTTAATATTACCACAAAAAAAGAACTAATTTGCAAGAGAAAGAGAGAAGCCAGTGTAATTAAAAATAAAAATTACACAGCTTATAGATGTCAGCACAATTAAGTTTTTCTGCATATAGTTCTTTTTTAAAGCAGCCATCATGATTCGAAAAAA